AGTGCCGGAGATGAAGTCATTCTGCACATCCACGATCAGGAACGCGTTTACTGGACGCACTATCTGTGATGAAATACGTAAGTTAAAATTGCCTTTCGACTGACTGGGATTCCGTTAATTTTTGATAATGTAGATGGCGGTTAGAATAGAATAGAGGAGAAACTTTTTTATTCAATATACATTATGAATAATGTTTTGTTTAATTTACAACGGAAAATACCTCTGTCCCAGGGGAAACCAGCAAGAAAATCATCGGAGTTTTTATTTTTTAATTTTGAAAAAAGAACAAGAACAGTTCACAATTACATTACCTATATAAAACAGATTAGAAATAGCTTAGTAGCGATCACCACATTCCCAAAGGTCATAATCTATAAATTTTAGGTTAGATATTACAGACACATAAACATCAAATTCGAGAAAGACCAAGCTCTGCATTACTAGGCTCTTTTTTAACAGATTTCTTAAAAGGAGGAGCTACTCAATTCGACTGTTTTTTATGTGTGGTTACCTCAGAACTTTTTTCTAGGTGAACCGATTTTGATGTTTCTTTTTTTAAAGCTGGTGCTTCTCATATGGTCACATATAAATTTGATCCTGTTATTCTAATGCGTATTTAATTGACTTGGAATATATTGATGATATTCTCATTTTATTTGTATAAATTTAATTTTAACCTTCCTCACACAGTGGTGAGTCGCCAATTATCCAGATGGTGTGTGGGAGTGGGCGGTGGTGAAACGTTACATCTAGCTCGGGTTAGTTTAGAAAGAAAGAGTAATTCTGTTTGCAGCCATGGGCTGCCATGGCCAATTGCTATATGGTGGACTGTTAGTTGGTTAGACACTTCAGTTTTATATAAAAAAATGTACACGATTACTTGTTATTGGCACTGTAATATTTCTTGTGCAGTTGATAGCTTGACAACCATGGCCAAATCAGCCAGAAAGACATCGGTAGCGCAGTGATTGAGCGTTTGGCTGCGAAATGAAGAGCACAGGTTCATGACTCGCACGGAACAAGTATTTGTATGGCCGAATTTTTCGTGCTCTAGATGTTTGTTCGTGTGCAATTTATGTATGGAAAAAACCTCCGGCTACCAGGAGATAATTCTTTAAAGGGATGTTTTTTTAATTATGTATATAATATATACATTAATAATATGTATGTTTTTAAGAATAAATCATCATATATTAGGCACATTAAAAAAATTTTGGTCTCGTAATGATAGTATGGTAACAAATCATGGTGAAAACCACATTCGAGATATAAAAAGTAATTCACGGATAAGTCAAGTCTGCATTAGTGTCCTGGCACATCTCTTACCAGCTACATCTTTCTGCTAAAAACTGAGAGACCAGTGCCAGGTTGTACTAAATTCAGCAAAATAACACAAATGGCATCACATACAACAGGGATTCCCAGGGATTGCGCCGCGGCGCAGCATTCTTCAATGATTGTTTAATGGTTTTGATAACTTATATTTTTATTATCACAATATATATTTATGACAAGTTATAAGAATGTTAATTATTCTTGTTCAATCTACACTACATGACTGTAGTGGCGATGTAAGAACATCCACTAGTCTATATTGTCCCATGGGTGTCGTAAGACGCATCAGAGCACTAACCAGGAGTTGAGCACCAGCTTCTTCCGGATAACATCAAGAACTAGAAAATAAAGAACTGTGGTCGCCAACACGCCTGCTATGCATGACTACTACGACGCATATCCCCTCTATGAACAACCTTTTAGTCAATTATATATATATGGGATATGGGAGGCATAAGTTCAGCAGTGGACATACTTTTGAAAGGCTGTAATGGATAAATAAAAATTTTCATAAGAATGTATTAATGTCATATTTAAAACGTATGGTAATAACTAGATGACATCCGCTCGCTTCGCTGGGCGCACGATTATAGACAATAATAATGTAGATATAAAATATCAAGATTTTTTGCTATGGGACCATCGTAAAATCCGTTCTTAGTGAGCGTCTGCATTTCGAAATGAGTAACTATACTAAATGTCAAGTCAATCAGGTCAATCAGGTGTATAGTTTTAGACATATTTACATGTCAGCCGTTTAGATATTTTATATATATATATATATATATATATATATATATATATATATATATATAAATAATTTGATTAGGGTAACTGTCCACCCTTGATCTGAATGAGAGATTCTTGACCCAGTTATTTTAAGGGAAAAATTACTTTTTTACTAAGACACCTACCACTTTAATCCAATGATTCCAACAGAAAGTGAACTCCTCCTTATCAATAAATCCATCATCATTCTTGTCAAAAACTTGGAATATGTGTCTTGCCCGCTCTTCAGGTAATGTGTAAATGTGGCCTTTGTCGTTGCGGAAGAGGGCCTTGCAAATCAGTCGGAACTCGTCAAAGCTCAATTTGCCATCCCTGTATTAAAGTTTTGGAATGAATCCTTTCGATTATTTTTTTAATTTATCATAAACCAGTGCTTGACCATTTAGATTTTGAATTTGAAAAAAAATACAATTCTGAACCAAATTCTAATTTGAAGTTGCTTTTTAACAAATGGCTTAGCATTCATCAGTATGAACTGGCATGTTGTCTAGGAAGAAGTGCCTTCAAGTCACAGATAAAATTAATATTCTAAATTATTGTTTGCCTGGTCTAGATGCATTTCAACTTTTTTCAGAATGTGCTTATATTCCTATCCTGGGTGGAGAAAAACTTAGATAGTGATGCTACCAGATTGCAATATATTATAGTGCACTAGGATTTTCAGGTTTATCATATTGAAATTTACAAAAGGCCTACATTTCAGTAAGTTCGATAGAAATAATTGGGAAGAGTCAATAAAATGAAAAAAAATACATGTTTTTTTACTTTTTTATTTTATAATTTCTTTTATAGATTAAAGGATAATGAGTACATAGTCCACCTGATGGCTACTGTGGCCCATAGATACCTACATCTATTGTCGTATAATAATCAAAATGTAGATTTGCTATCACCCCAGAGGCATAAGATAGAACGCCTTGTTACAAGTAAATAGGGTCCATCACATTGTCTAGTACTCTAGAGTCACCATATGAAATCAAGAGCATCATGCTGCTATTTTACTCCAGTATTCCTTCCCTGGTTGAAAAGACCTATTTGGTCGGCCACCATAATATAGCTACAGCATGGTTTTACCCACTTTACAAAATAAAACAGATTTAAGCTTCTATACTTATTATAACTAGAAATGAAGATAATGCTTTTGCCTAAAAAAGTTAAGTTCTACTTACTATAATCAATATAAACCTGATTTGTTTACAATAACATATAAACAAATAAATGAAAATTTTAATGAAACAGTCTTTTTATTCAATATAGATTATAAATAATACATATTGAATATCAGTCTTTGGTTTAATTACCACTGGTTCGGGACAAAAACTTCTGTCCTGGAAAGAACCAGCGAGAAACCAAGTGGGACTTTAAAAAAATAACAGCTTAAAATTATGTATGTTACACAATCAAACAACACAAAATAAATAAATAAATTAGTAATAGCTTGGTAGCAATCACCTCAATCCCAAACGTTACTTCTAAACCATAAATTCCTTAATGTTATAATAATCCTTTTTACATAAGCTTAGTACAAGCACTAATCTTACGTGTACTTAATTAAAATGTGTTTCTACTGTGCATATAAATAAATCATGTAAATGCAGTTACATCCTTCCCAATTCCTTGCAAATTTAACTCAAATAAAATGTAAGAAAGCTAGTAACTATAAAAATAATTGAATATTTATAGTATTATATATTTTAATACTATTTTCTAACTGTGAGAATGATAGCATGTCATAAGTAACATAAACATACCCATCTTTGTCAAATGTTTCATAGCAAGCGTCCATATCGAACCAACCAACTTCGTCAACTAGCAAGTTGTTACCAACGTCCGACATCGTAGGTTTGATCGAAATGAGCGGCCCGCAATCGCGGTGCTCGTTTATAAGGCAAACCAACATCGTAACCGGCAAATTGCAGCACAATGCGCATAAACAAACAGAAACGCTATTAACTTGTAGTATTACGCTAAACTGCGCACCTAAAGCATCAAAACTTTGATTAAGCGGTTAATATGATGCAACTTTATTTCAGGTTTGCGGCGATTTTCGATAAAACTGCAAATTGGAAGTTACTCAACTTTGTGTTCGTGTTTTCATCAGTAGTCATTTCATGAAATGTCATGTCAATGTCATAAAGATTAGACAGTTGACATATCGTGATGACGTTCCTTTATACTTCGTAGACTTTTTTAACTTATTATCTTTATTATTACCTATTTTGTTTTTACCTTTTGTTTGCCTTTATTTTAAATTTATTAATAGTCATCTAGTACATATTAATTAGAACTAGTAATTGCTTTAAAATAAATTTACAATTTCTTTTAAAGTATGAAAAAGATGAACAATGAACAAGAAACGGAGTTGCTGGATAGTTACGGCTTACGCATAATAAATAACATGTGGAAATAAAATTTAATACAATATTGATCAAGATATTATTATATTCAAATACATTTTGCAAGTTTTTAAATTATATATAAAACAAGTCATTGTTGAAGTCCTTAAATTTTATTATTGAAGTTTATTTATTGTTTCTTGATTTTTTAGTGCAATCCTGTTTTCCGTTTTGTTCTGTCAAAGACAGACATAACAGACATTAGACACAGACAAAAAAGTAAAATACCTACGGACCGCAACAAGATTCGCGGGGTCGGCGTCACGCCGAAAAATATATTCACTTTTGGCGTTTTATCTCAATTCACTTGAAATATTTTTCTGCATTTGGTTTTTTTAAATTAATGACAATAATTACTCGCTAGAGCAGCTATAGACCATTAATTTGGTAGCATTTGTAACGTTCGCGGTATAAAAGATGGTTATAGAAAAAGTGCACGGTTTGCAGGCGACAGGAATTAGTCTTAATGACCGGTTTACGATGCTGGCTTCAGCGGCTCCTGATCGTGTTGCACGCGCCAGGACTCCGCGAAGGCGCACTAACATCAGGCCTTTCGGCTCAATCGGCTTTTTTAATCAAGGCCTTGACATAAACAACAGAAACCTTATTGAACAGATTGCAAGGAAATTGCAGCTTCAAGCGAGAAGGGTATGTATAAACTATGTGTATGTTTATTCCTCATTTTTACCCTACTCCCTCTGAAAGTGAGTAATCTACAATTTGAGATCGAGATTTTTCGATCAAGTGTATATATTATGTGTTTTTTGAGGGATGCTTTGGGGCCTAAATGGCTTGTTTGATCTTAACACATGGGATTGTTAGATATGTCTTAGTTGTGCAAGTGACAGGGAATATTTAATATTTAAATTATTCCCTTTTCAGTACCCTTTTATTAATGGTAATGCTCTTATTGATGTTTTAACCATTGGGCTTTTTGTTCTATTCATCTATTAATATATTTGAAGTAGGTACAATTACATGGAGTACATTGAAAGTTTTGCGTAACTCATAAATAAAACCATTTACATGTGCTTCAGGTGCTTGTTGAAAACTATCACATCCTCTTCTGGCTTTGAAAATGTCAAACCATTGCATGGTGCGAAATCTAGACGGTGTGTGGTCACAAGCTTGACCAAAAGGCGGAATTTAGAAGCTAAAATGACTGTCATGTATGTGGAGTGCATGGAAGCATTATTGTGGTGCAATAGGATTGATTTCTTGGCTGCTTTCCCCTAACTTTTACAAAGACACTAGGCAAACAAATTTTTGTGTACCACTTAGCATTAACTGTCTTTTGCTCATCAAGTGGGATTGTAACACGACCCATTTGGGTTTGTTGTTGCTTTTGAACACTCAAGACTGTTGCTATTATTCTGGAATGTAAGAATATATTTACGTTCCATCTCCTGTCACATATCATATACAGCATTTCAACAACCAAGATCATGCTTTAACAACATTTTTTACAACCAATCAACTTGAGTTCATTTTGTTCTAGGTTGAGTTCACGAGAAATCCAGTGGCAACAAAGTTTTCTAATTTATTAATACTGATTAAATTTTTTTTGAATTTGGCTCTTACTAAATTCAAGATGTGTCGGTTTTCATTAATTAGACAACTACTTTTCATTAATTAGACAAAGCTTGGCGTGCTCAGCAGAGCGGGACAGTATTTCATGCCGGCACACCACCTGCAACTTTACAAGGCGCAGGTTCGGCCGCTCATGGAATACCGTTCCCATCTCTGGGCTGGGGCTCCCCAGTGCCAGCTCCTTCCACTTGACCGCATCAAGCGCAGAGCGGCTTGAATCATCGACGACCGAGTGCTTTCCGACCGAGTGATTCACTGGCACTGCGAATAGATGTTGCATCTCTTTGCATTTTTTTTCCCATATACCATGGAGAGTGCTCTGATGAATTGTTCGGATTAATCCCAGCCGCCAAATTTCGTGAACGCACTATACGGCAAACGTCCCGATACCATCCACACCATCTGGATGCTTGGCGGTCCACCACAGTATGTTTCAAAAGGAGTTTTCTTCCGAGTACAACCTCTCTGTGGAATAGTTTACCACCGGCGATTTTTCCGGACCGATATGACCTGGGGACCTTCAAGAAAAGAGCTTACTCCTTTCTAAAGGGCCGGCAACGCACCTGAAATTCCCCTGGCGTTGCGGTTGATCATGGGCGACGGTAGTCACTTAACATCAGGTGAGCTGCATCCTCGTTTGCCCCCTCTTCTATAAAAAAAAACTGACATTGGCCACATTTTACTCCATAATCGCAGTAGATGGTCCACCTTTACTAATCTTATCATGGAGAGAAACATGACCACGAACAAATTCTATGCACCATTCCTTTGGCGCCCAAATGGGGGGCTTCCCAGAGTATTTTTATTTTTTATTTTTTAGTGGAACAGCTAGATAGTACAGTAACCTAATATACGCAATAATGCAGCCCAATTCTTACATTGTCACTACATGGTCAAATATTTATATTAATATCTTATTTTAGGTTACAAAATTTTAACTTATTGAAAAATCATTGTTTTCACTAGTGTATTTATTGTAATGTGAAATATCTGTCAAAAACTATGATGCAATTATACAAATGTCCTTTCTTTATATAGCAAGCTCTCAAACAACGACTTGGTATAGCTGGTCCGTTGAGGCGCTATGGTAGTGAAAGCAGCTTGCCAGGGCTCAGGCGCTCCAACAGTTTTGGCAACCTAAATCAAAGACAGAATATAAAAAACAGAGTTGCTTGGCGGCAATCCAACAATAACCTAAGGTAAGCTATAAAATGGATGAACTGATGCATTCTGTAATTATTATAGTTATTTATAACTCTCATATTTGTATTGGTCCTGCCAATTATGTTGGTGATGGTAGCTTGTTTTCCCGGGTACTCTCTTGGTTGATATATTGAACAAGCCAAAATTAAGAATACCCTTAACCAATGATTATGTATGTATAGAATAGACAGGATTATCCAAAGTAGACCTCCCGCAGTCTTTGCCTACCCCTTTGAGCGACAGGTGTGAGAGTCTGTGTATTGTGTGAATTATCTGGCATATATTGAACTCTAATGATAGCACTAAAATATTAACTTGTAAGTGTTGATTTAGAACTGTGGTTGCTTATCAATCTGAGTTCGTTCCCAGCCAGCACCAATGTAATTGTAAATTGCGGTTATAATTGCTGATGAATGAGGATGTAGTAAACATACTCAGCGCTGAGGGAAAACATCTTGAAGAAACCTGCATGTTTGAGAAATTAAATATTTCGAAGACATGTAAAGTATACCAATATACATTGGGGCACCACAGTGGACATTTTCTTGCTTGCTTTAAAATAGTTATTTTTACATTATATATAGCAGAGCCCCCTGCAGCTATATTATCGTTATAGCATGAATGAGTCAGCTCTTCTGGGGTTGGAATGGCAGCTCGACTCAACATACGAAACAGTAATTAATGCTGTGTTTTGTATGGTGAGTGTAGAAAACTGGAGACCATTGGATTCTGAAAACGAGGCATTCCATTGCAGTATCAGCTTACCATCAGGTTGACTGTGTGCTTGTCATCCTTTATTCTTATTCTATTTAAAAAATTTATACAATTTACAATTTAATCCTGTCTACAGTCGTTCAGCATCATTCGGTAATTTGTCGCAAGGAACTTGGCGGGGTCAGGGTTTCCGACGACGAGGTGGAAGGGTTGGTGCTCTACGTGGAAGGTTAAGGTATATGTTTGTTTCATATAACAATGATGCCATAATATAGTTTTTAAATATTATGTATAAGTTGTTTCATAAAACCCAGTTTTATACTGGGTCATAATCATTCTACACTCACCATAAATATGCAATAATTAAGTGATCTCTTTTGCCGCTCTGTTTCACATGAGTGTAGAAAACCAGAGGAGACCCTTTTTACTGTAAAGAAGGCATTCTTTCTTAATCCTCAGGGGTGACAACGAATCTTAATTTTGATTCTAAATTGAGGATAGATGCCACCCTCTTACCATCCAGTGGACTGTGAAATCTAAGTATTCTGTAAATTATTGATAAAATTTTGTTTGATTGGTTAGTTGGCACTTATATACAATTGAGATATTTTTTTGAGTTACTAGTTTTTACCCGCGACATTGAGTGACAATATCGAAAAACCACTTGAAATTCTGTTTTTTGCTATTACCTCGAGTAGTATAACATAATAATAGGGAAATGTTTGAAATACCTTTAACACTCATAATTTTCAATAGACGTCAATAAAAGGAAGAGGCTCTCAATTGGACTGTATTTTTTTTTGTATTACCACAGAACTTTTTAGTCCCAAATAAATTTGATCAAGATCTGACCAATATTATTAAAGATATTCTTAGTAATGAGTATTTAATTAATAATTAAATACAGAAACAGAAACTTTTTTATTCAATATAGATTATAAACAATACTTATTGAAAGTCAATTTTTTCATTTACCACTGGTTCGCAAAAAAACCTCTGTCCTGGGAAGAACCAGCAAGAAACCCAGCGGGACTATTTTTTTTTTCAAATAATAGCTTACAATCACATTTACAATTGTCAACACAAGACAGATTAGAAACAGCTTGGTAGCGATAACCCTACCCAGGGGTTATTATCATCCATAAATTCCTTAATATTATAATAACTGGTGGAGCGACGAGCCTAAGGTTACCGAAGTCCTAATTCCCCGGTCGAGCCTTAAGCCTATTACGCGAGATGTTAAACCCAAATGGACTGTATATGCGAAATGCTTCTTCGTTTACACAAAATGGCGACTATAGCACGCGGTTTCCCATACAATGCACTCGCTCTTCCCTAAACGAACTATTATTTGCCAAATCTATGAAAGGAATCCTGCTTGATTAGGAGAAAATGAAAATTGGAGCGGGTTAACTATTAAACACAATTATATCAAGCAGGAACTAGTAGGAATGTTCACCACTCACCGGGGTGTTGCTTCTATGCGGCATGGGCACTATGTTATGTTGCTGCGCTGCGACCTCTGGAAGACACTCTGGGGCCCCAGAGATGCTTTCTTGTCCGGTGATGCGTCGGGAGAGAGTGCGGTGCGCGACTATTTCTCACACGAGGTGAGGCGGGTTTCCTGTAGTTCGACTGCTTCCAGGCTAAAGCGGTTATACTAGCGGTGCGCGTGGGCAATAGCCCTTCTATGACACTATTGTCTTAAGCGGTGTCCAACGACGAGCGCGACGGGAAGAGACATGCGCGTCGGCCGCGAGTGCCTTTTTATTCGTTCGGTTGCGATGATCGCGTGATATTCTAGAATCATCTTCTCTCCCCTCCCCCACCACCCCGATGTGTCGATAGGAGGGTTGATGTTTCGTTTGGTTTCTTGTTTTTTTTTTGTGAATTTTTATTTTTTGTTTCTTTACTGACTCGGTGGAGTCGAGTAATTGGTACTACTAGCTTGTGTCTGTTCCTAGTATTTACAGAATGAATATCACTTATTTTTGCAAAACTATGTTTATTCTTGTATGTACATTACATTTTCATAAATGTAGAATACATAAATAAAATAACAAAAAATAATTTTTGACTACAACTACATTGATGAATGATGATGTTCTCATTTTATTTATATTGATGAAGTCGGTTGTACAATTTTTTTTTAATATTGATTTTGTATCACAACTTGGATAGTATATATAATCTACAGAAAGACCTTTTTTGAGTAAAATGGCAAATGTAAAAAGTTTTTTGTAGTGAAAAACTTTTTTCTTTTTTTTCTTTTTTTATATCTCATATAGTTTATGATATACTCATCATAACCATTTATTTTATCAATTTTTGATTTTACACGAATCCTGCATGATTTGAAATAAAATATAGTCCAGATCACTCATGGCACTGATCACTGTCTGCTTTCCCTTTCCGGTGATAAGCCCCAACAGACAGAAAATAGTAAAAATGAAATAAATATTCATGTCTTAAAAGCATGTTCACGATTTGGATTGGATTACTAATTTATTCTGGATTGTATTAACAATCCAGTTATTATAGACTATTATTGGAAATTATAGCATAGAAATTGTTTGAAAAAGTCACTCAGTGAATAATTTCTTGCTATCTTATTATCATAATTATCTGTTTTATTTCTGATTTGAATTGAAAACCTAAAACAGTTTTGAGACACTTTGATAATGATGGTGTCTACCCCACTGTTGACTTAAAAGCTTAAAACAACATTTATTTACAGAACTATTTTGTAGTTAAAGTTGATGAAAAGATATTGCCAATAAAGTCTTGTTGTTTTCAACACATCATATATTATATGATGACATATATTCAACACATGTATAGTCTTTGAGGAAATTGTCACTGCCACACAAATCTCAAGCAAATAATGATTGTGATTTTATCATCTGAAGGCTTAACATAGATTACCTCATAGACTGCAAATATACTTCTTTTTATTCTATTTAAACTAGAATATTGCACTTACTGCTATGGCATTTAAGCCTCCGATAGACTCTTAAACTGAAAATTCTTCTTTTCTTTTTAGCACATTGCTGAACATGGGTTCTTTAAAAACAACCGGTAGTGCAATTGTCAACTCACCATATCAGATTACCGTTACCAATCGGGCGGCTTAGTCTATACTTATAGGTTGGTTGACTGCCTCATTGGTCTGGTGGTAGTAAACACGGTTACTTCTCATGAGTTCTCGAGTTTGAATCCCAGGATCGGGTTTTTCTGACAAGATACTCTCAGTAGCCGCGCGGATACAGGAAGTTGGCAATGTTTTACCACCATACCTCAGAAAGCATGTAAAGCCATTGGTTCTGCACCTGATTTCTCTCTAGTTGTTTTGGATAATCGTTTCACCGGACTATGAGAGTGAGGGAATGTAGAGTGCACCTGTACTTGCATACACCGTGCATACACTTGGGTACTCGACTCCACCGAGTCAGTAATTCATTCTTGGGGCGATTTATACGCTTTTACAACAAAATCTCAGAAAATATATAAAATTTGAGATACACAAAGTTCAAAAACTTTATTAAACTAAGTTTGTATAAAAAGGGTTATTATAATATTAAGGAATTTATGGATGATAATAACCCCTGGGAAGGGTGATCGCTACCAAGCTATTTCTAATTTGTTTTGTGTTGTTAATTGTAACATACATAATTGTAAGCTATTATTTGAAAAAAAAAAATAGTCCCGCTGGGTTTCTCGCTGGTTCTTCCCAGGACAGAGGTTTTTTTTTTTTGAACTAGTGGTAAATGGAAAAAGTGACTCAATAAGTATTATTTATAATCTATGTTGAATAAAAAAGGCTAGTCTCCGTTGGGGCTTACCGCCATGACATGAATGGATAAAGAGCATGATTATGCTTTTTCCTAAAGAATGATTTATATATGTATATATATACTGTATTTGTCATGTTTAGTTTGTTTGCTGCACTACCTCCCATGCAAGCCTGATGGTTGATTGGAAGAGATGGCTTAAGGCATTAAGTCAGCCATATTTAATATTTTTTGTGCATAAAAGTTTAAATAAATAAATAACTTATGTATACAGGGGCAGTCGTATGCAGTTTGGACGAACATTTGGCCGACCTGCGAACAGAATGCAGACTCGCACGCAGAACTTCCGCCGGCGAATGCGAGGACGTGGCAGTGGCAGAGGTACTTCAACATAAAATAATACAATAAATAGTAGCATTTTACAGTTATACATAGGACACTCAATAAGTTTTGAGATATACAAAAGTATTCTAGATACTATTAATGTTTGTTTTACATCTTTTCAATATTTTCTCCATCATGCTCTATACAAAGTTTCCTTCGCCTTACTCTGAAAACACTTTTGCCAGTGTTGATCTGACTGGTCGGAAATGGCTTGTTCGTAGGCAGCCACGGCTTCTTCGGCGCTTGAAAAAAAACTTGCTTTTATTTAGTCTTTGACTCTTGGGAACAAAAAGAAATCACAAGGAGCTAAGTCAGGGCTGTAGGGTGGGTGACTTAGAGTTTCAACACTAGATTCCTCAATAAATGCTTTTGTTCTAAGGGAGGTATGTGAAGAGGCGTTATCGTGATGTAGCATGATTCCCCGAAGCATGGTCTTTGGTCTACTCTCCCACACAGCTTGAAAAGCTTTAGGTAATGCAACTGTAGTATACTATTCAGAGTTGACTGAACTACAATTTTCCAGCATTGACGTCGACAAATGTCCGCACCGCGAAAAAAAACTAGCCACCATTTTTTTTTGCCGACGTTGCGAGGTCTGTCGATTTTTCGGTAACTGTAATTCTGAGTAAACCCATACCGATGACTGCCTTTTATTTTTCGGATTATATTGATAGATCTATTTCTCGTCACCAGTAATGATTTCCGAAACACGCCTAGATGTCCCGTTTTCAAAACGTAGATGCATTTCATGGCACCAATCCACGAGTCTGTTTTTCGCTTTCGGAGAGCAAACAAGAGATCCATCGACAACAAAGCTTCCTCTCTCCGAGATGTTGATGTAGGATAGTATGAATGCTCCCCGAACTAATGCCATAATCTTTTCGATGTCCGTATATGTGATTCGTGGGTCTTCTCGCACCAACATTTCAGTAGTCCATACATTTTCTGCCATTATTGCTGTTTGCGGAGCCCCAGTTCTTTGGTTATCTTTAAGATTAATTTTACCCGTTTTGAATTCAGCAAACCATCAAAAAATTATTGCACGTAATGGAGCTGAGTCCCCTTATGCTGATTGTAACCATTGTAAACTTAACTGTTTAGCTAAACCAAATTTAAATTCATAATAGAACATAGCGCGCAAATGTTCACGATTAAGATCCATCGTTTTAAATGAAAAGTGCAGGAAGCGTTGCAGGAAAATTATTAGAACTTTGTTTATTTTTTAATATTGAGCAATTGGCTGATGGAGTTCTATTTTGAAATAAATTTGCTTTTTAGAAACATATAACATGGGTGAGTTCCATTTTTAAATTTCGAGCATCTTAAAACTTATTGACTGATCTACGTACAACAATAGTTACAGTTTTAAGTCCACTGATGAACATCCTCGGTCTCCCCTACAGATGGTCTCAGGGGGAATATTTGCCATAGTTGCCGTGCTTGGCAAGCGGCAACTGCAGTTTTTTATTTTTAGTTGTTATTAAGAAAGACTCGCCTCTTACGATATCCACAGGATGATATGGAGCATTTTAGCAACAATTTTTAATACGGTTTTCAGCCACTCAATTTTCGTTGCAGCATAAAATGGGTAAGAGAAGAACCATACTCACACAATATCAGTATACAATAACAGCTTAATAATGCTGTGTTCATATGGTAAGTGTAGAGAACTGGATATCCTTTTGCTGATAGAGAAACATTCCATCTTCCTCCTCCTTGTCCTCAGGGGGACATTGTAGCTGCATCATTCACTTACAATGGTATGGACTGTGTGCTTGTTTGTCACCCTAATTCTTTGAAGAAAACTATCTTACTTAATAATTATCCTACAGAATATTCACAAAAATTTTATTTATAATAGTTATTATAGTTTATAATATTTATAAATTATTAGCATTATTTATTTCATTGAAAATATGAAATTTTTTGGGTTATTGAAAGAGAACGTAACATATTTACTGAGATATATTATTTTTTTAACCGAAAAATCCTAAAAGAATCACGTATGGTGAGTGTAGAGAACCGGAGACCCTTTTTACTGGAAACAAGGCATTCCATATTAGTCCTCACGGGTGACGACGCATCTGCGTTTTGATCCTTAATCGAGGATAGATGTAGATGTCTACAGCAACCACTTACCACTTATCAGGTGGACTGTGTGCTCGTTTGTCACCCTATCCTATAAAAAAAAAATCTTAAAACAGACCTTATATCTCTACTCAATGAAATATTTGTTAATTGCAGGTGGAGTATTGAGAAATCAAACCAATCAAAAACCAGTGCCCACCAAAGAGGAGCTTGACGCGCAGCTGGATCAGTACATGGCAAGCACTAAGACGGCACTGGACAAAGAGCTGGATGCCTATATGAAGAGTGCTATGGAGCTGGAGTAAAATCAGTGTTTGTGTAGTGCAAGGACCAATAGTTGATGTGCATACTGTGAAGTTACATTCAGACCCACATACCATCATGGATCTTATGATTTCTTTAACTGACTTCCCATTGTGACAAATCATCAAACAGATGTGCAGTGAATGGTAGTAAGTTATTATAATAAACTATTTTTCTACTTTAGAGCTTATTTGTTACATGTTGCTTATTTTTTAGTTCTTCATCTTTTTCGCATCAATGAGCATATTAAGAAATTTTGTATTGGAATGCTTCCACTTTCACTATAGTAAAACTTTATAGGTAAAATATAACGATGTGTTTGTACCGACATTAAGAACCTGTGTGATAAAAAATGACAGATACCTTAGTATTGAAAGAGTTCTAAGATATGTTTGTCCATCACAAAATATTAGTCATACTTTCTTGTATCATCAACTTCCTTTTTTATGCAGAGTTTGTGTCCCAATTGAAACTATTCACATGTGACATGTCATTGTGGAGTTCATCGTAACTGCAATAAAGGAGAAACGTAGATAGTATATATAGAACTTCTCCGAACTATCACACGGAGTGTAGGCCGCTCCCGGGCAGAACACCTTGCCCGGCGGGAGATCTCCCCTTTTCCTACCACGGCCACAGTGGTGACCCCGACGTGATCTGAACACGCAACCAAACAGCATTCGGAAACTTCAAGGCTTCATCATCGTCATAGAATACCCCACTCATTCGCTCCCGAGCAGATATCGTCTGCAGTCTTCATATCCTGCAAGTCATCTAGCTTCGCAAGGTTCATCATAGCACTGGAATAATAATGCTTCCTGTTCCTTCAAGCTACACTCTGCGCTTCAGTGTTCGGCACGGCTCTGAGCCTTACTGCTCGCCTCTGCTTCACGGCACTCTCGCAGATTACTTGCCTTCTTCTCGACTCACCGCAGACTACAAGGCAATCTCCTGGCACTTACTCATTCGTCGGTCGGGGGTGATGTAGCGGCGCTGTCGTCGCGCCACTAGCACACCGAAACACACCGAAGCCTAAATCGCGCTATTAACTTTCCGAATCATAGACAGTATATATAGAACTTCTCTGAACTATCACACGGAGTGTTGGCTGCTCCCCGGGCAGAACACCTTGCCCGGCGGGAGATCTCCCCTTTTCCTTTCACGGCCACAAATTGTTTGCAAAATAGGGAGCAACATAATGTTGTTGCTCATGCATTCAATATGTCCATTATTTTAGGAGTTGATAGGGTATGACCTACAGGAAAGTTGAATAAATCTAGGGGGGGGGGGCATCCTGCCATATTAAATAAAACCTTTTGCATACTAGATAATAAATTCCATTGATGAGCTTGTAATATAATACAGTAATATAAAATGAAATACCATTGTAAAGAACTGGTAACGTAATTGTTATTTTTAATTTAAGACATTTTAACGCCACAAAGAAAGATGGGTCAATTGTAAAATCTAAAGCAGTATGCACATCGATAACATAATATTTGACTTTAACAAATTATATTTCAGTACATGCAGTGTTTCCTTAGATTGTTTAGAAGATTATGAAAAAATTGTTTTCATTTAAAATTCTATTACTGTCTTTGGACATAATAAACTTCATAATACTATGTATGTTTGTTTGTACTGTGTTGAAGATTCATAATAACGTTGATGAAGTTATACTAATGTTAAACACCTCCAGTGCAGTAAATGGGGAAGCAGGACACTGCTTGTTGTGCTTTGCGCTCTCTGTCCCACTTACTGGTCTTATGACAGGCTTTCCGGTGACAGGCAGTATCCTGTTTCCCCCATTTTATTGCACTATGGGCAGTAAGTGTTTAACATTAGTATAGACATCTTTTAAGGTGCATTAACAATACAGACTGAATCTGTGCCCAGCAGTGGAATCTGTGTACCGCCCATGTGGATAAAGAATGGGATTAGAAATGGTGACTCATGAAGCCTGTACTATCGGCATGTCGTACCTAAATCAATAACATTCAAACAGATCTAATGTTATATTGGTATATTACAAACTAGCAACTCTCCCTAGCATCTTTTCGTTACAATCTATTAATGTGGCGTAGTTAACGATAATCAAATATCATATGTTTTATCAATTTTTCCTAGTCCAATATATAGCTGACCTCCTAAAATCCAAAAATCTTACCTGACATTGCTCTCATAAAGTTTTATCAAATCGGTTCAGGTACGGAAAATTAACCTGGACGGCTATACAAGTAAAATTTAAAAAAAATTTGTTGTCTTAATGGCATGTAAACAACCCCGTGAGATTAGTAGAAGCCAGCTATATCAATATTAGAAACAGACACGTCAAATTTATTAAAATATTTCATTAGTTTCGTCACCATCATCATTACAGCTCATGACAAGTCCAATTAACATAGACCTCGCCAAAGGAATGCCACATCATCCATCTAATTCTTGCAAGTGTTACCAGTTTGTCACTTCATGTAGTTCGTAGCATATTTATTTGGAAATAGTTATTGAAAAAAATCTCAAGAGCATTTCATTATTTTCGTCACCATCATCATTACAGCTCATGACAAGTCCACTTAACATAGACCTCGCCAAAGGAATGCCACATCATCCATCTAATTCTTGCAAGTGTTACCAGTTTGTCACTTCATGTAGTTTGTAGCATATTTATTTGGAAATAGTTATTGAAAAAAATCTGATTAAGACATTAAAAGTTAAATTTATTTTTGTTTAAGAATAAAGGTGCCAAACGAGCGGACAGTCCACCTGATGGTAAGTGTATGCTGTGACCCATAGACATCTGCATCCATTATCAATTAAGAATTAAAATGTAGACGTGTTGTCACCCCTGAGGACTATGATGGAATGCCTGGTTTTCCGTAAACAGGGTAACCAATTCTCTACACTCACCATATGAAACACAAGCAGCATTAAGCTGCTATTTTACGCTGGTATTCTGTGAGAGCGTGGTCCTTCCCCAGTCGAGCCGACCCATTGGTGATACAACCATAATATAACTGCAGCATGATTCTACCATATATAATACCATGTATAATACCTACATAACACGCAAAAATAGAATATGGCGCTTCCTTATATCCCATTTTAATAATTGAAATTGTTTCCAAGAAACCAATTAAGTATATATAACAAGAATGAGGGCTTTTCCACCCACTAGATGTCGCTAGGTGCGACTGAGTTGATGTTTTTTGCTACACAGTGTTTAATTTAGTTTAATTGCTTAAATAATATAAAATATATCTTATATTACAGTAAGAAATATTAATCCTTACATTTTCCTAACAAATAAACTTTCCCGCTATGATATCTGTCAAATATTCCATCTCATTCCAAAATGGCGCCGTGGTGGCAGAAAAAATCGTGGTCGCCCTATTTGCTTGCATATAGTTTAAATCTAATAAAGAAATACATCCTAAAACCTAAACCTTCATCATCTAGTGGTTCTCTGCTGGGCATATGCAGTCTGTGGAAGTTGTCCAGCTTTGCAGGCTAACTCCTGGAACTATATACTTTGGTTCCCATTACCAATCTAGTAACTTAGGTGTAAAAATTGTAGTCAGTTATTATGTCAACTGTTCATGGTCACATAACTTGCACTAGCTGTTGTATTTTTAGCATCATCCGAGTTGTTTTATTTTAGCTTGTGAACTATGTTGGAGAGTTTTTTTTTACTTATCCAAATGTTTTAAATGTAAATATTTAGCGTTAAGTAAAGTTGTTGTTCACAATAAAACCTATGTGAATTTTGCGTTGTTTTATTTTTAAATTTATTTATTTACTTTATTAATTTACTACAGCCATTTAAAAGTTTACTGCTGATCATAGGCCTCCCCCATTGATTCATAGATCCCTAATAGACAATTTATGGGGGAATATACTGGATGACCTTTTTACTGTCACAAAAAATAGGGTGTAACATGTGAACGGTGTAGAAGCCTATGGCACTGATATTTTACAAAAAATAAAAACAAACATTTTGAATTAAAGGTTTAAAAACAATTTTTTGAACATAACTTTGCCCTTGAGCCTGTGACCCTGTGAAGTGAAAAGGTCTTATTTCCTTTCGTAAAGTAGGGTGGATATATGATTTGTACTTTGATATATTTTAATTAATTTATCTATTAAATTGAAAATTTTTGTTTTATTTTTTGTCAAATATCAGCGCCATAGGCTTCGTTCACATGTATACCCTATTTATTCCAGACGGTAAAAAAGGTCATCCAGTATATAGACAAATATCCTCAAAATCCCCCATATATGTGATAGTAGCCACGCTTGGCGGCCTGGCTACCGCAGTTTATTTATTAATGATTATCTTTGAGTTGTTATCAGGAAGAGGCTGCTCCTCTTACGACACCAACGTGATGATATGGGTCCGTTAGAATGTATCATTATGATAAACGGCCTTCCAGAGGTGGTGAGAGACGCGAGCTGTTTACTTTTTGCATACGATCTCAATTTATTCTGAGGATTACCGACGAGATTGATTTTTGATTGATATTGATCGTGTGGTGGCGTGGAGTTGGGAGAATAAATTTCTGTTTAATGTGTCGAAATGTAATGTGATGAATTTCACACGCTCGAAGACCCTGATACATTTCAACTAGGTACCTCATGGAAGGGGATATCATCAATCACGTATGTGTAAGTGATGTCGGCGTCTTATTTACCGAGGCCGTGATCTTTCGTACTCATATTGTACAGGTGATTAAAAACCTGGGCTTCATATTACGTGAAACGCATGACTTCCATAACATTGCCGCCGTGAAGTCATACAACGCTTTAGTAAGAAGCAATCTCGAAACCACGTCATTCGATATGTCGACGCCGAGGATTCCGATACTGGCTGAGGCAACAAGGGGAGTGCCTTGAAACTGAGGAGATACGACAAAGGGGTTCTTTTTAGCGGTTAACGCACAGACTTGTGTCTTCTGAGGGTTAAACTGGACTAGATTTAGTCGCCCCTAATCCGAGACTCTGTTCAGCAAAGACTCGACTTCAGACACTAGTTTGTCCCGGTACTCGGAGACGTTTGCCCGAGAAATATTGGCACGGCCGGTGTACAGAGCTTCACCAGTGCTGTCATCTGCATAGCAATTAATGTTACGGGTTTGCAACATGTCATAGATATGCAGAAGAAACAGCGTTGGCGATAGCACGCAGCCTTGTGGAACACCAGCATTAATAGGCTTGTAATCGGAGCTTGCACCGTCTACAACGACCTTGATGCTCCGATTAGGTAGACCAGAAGAGCACCAGCTGATCGACCACGACGGAAACCGTATTGGCGGTCACTAATCAGCTGGTGATCCTCAAGGTACCTCATGAGCTGGCAGTTGAAAATGGACTCCATTGTTTTGGAGAACAAGGAGGTGATGACGATAGGCTGGTTGGTAGTTGGACGGGTCTGAGCGGTCACCTTTTTTAGGGATCGGGTGGTCGGAAGCAGTCTTCCATGATTTTGGGACTACCGTACCGGAAAGAACGCGTTAAAACCCGTGCCAACTCTGGAGCACACGTCCTCAGCACAATTGGGGGGATTCCGTCAGGCCCACTCGACTTGTGGATGTCCAGAGAGAGGAGTGCTTTACGAACTGAGCGCTGTGTGAACTGCACTTCCGGCATGGAGCACTCACACCGCGGGATGGTCGGCGGCGAACTCCCCCCGTCATCGAGAGTCGAGTTGGACGCAAAGAAAGAGCCTAGCAGATCGGCTTTCTCCTTTGCGGTATGGCCCAGTGAGTCGTCCTCCCTGTGCAGAGATGGAAGAGATGGCTGACAGAAATTCCACTGGACAGCCTTGGCGAGAGACCAGAATGCACGGTTTCCAGAAGGAAGGCGAACTAGTTTCTCGCCAATTCTGCCTATGTGCTCTGACTTTGCCTTGGCAATGACTTTTGAAGGACCTAGAGGCGGAATTATACTTCTTTTTTAGAGCGCTGGTGCTTACATCCCGGGACGTTGATGCGTCAGCCCAGGCTTGGTAGCACTCATGCTTATAGCATGATGCTATTTTACAGGAGCGACCAAACCATGGCTGAGTTTTGCCTCCGATGGGCACCAGAGTAGAATGAATAAAAAGTGAAGAGGAAGAGGAAGAAAGAAAAAGTTCCATACCCTGAAGTACCACATCAGCGACAGAATCCGCAACAACGTTGGGATCGTCCGGCGAGAAGCAAACCCGCCCCCAAGGGTAGGATGTAAAGAAATACCGCATCCTAACCCAATCAGCTGACCTATAGTGCCAAACACGGCGGCAGCCTGCTGAATGCAACTGCGATTTCAGTGTGATGTCACCACACTCCGGACAAGACAATGGTCCGAGGTGCCTAAAGGGGCGTCGACGGAAATCTGATATCCGTCCGGGTGAGAGGTCAGCAGAAGGTCCAACAGGGAAGGTGCATGATCCTCCTCATCTGAAATCCACGTGAGCGAAGTAACCAGTTGTGTCAGACCATATGCCAAGGCAAAATCATGAACAGATCTCCCCGCATGATCGGTTGTACGTGAACCAAGTCATTCGGCTTGATGGGCGTTAAAGTCGCCGAGGATTACGATCTCTGCGGACGGGATCTGCTGTAGCAACGAATTTGTCGCCATTTGGACGTGGTCGAAGAGTCGGTCTGTTTCGGCATTACCGCTATGGGACCTATAGAGGCACCCGTAGACAAGCGGATGGTAGTCGCTGTCTACGCGTAGCCAAAGGATGGACAGCTCCGAACCTTCAAGACTGCAGAGGCGTCGAGAACAACAGATGTCCTCTCTGACGTAAACACAAACTCCAGCCCGAGGCACAAAGGAGTGTTCCAGTTTGTATTGTTGTGTTGTTCCCGGATAGGAGAGATATGAGACATCAGCCGGAGAGGACACCTGCGTCTCGGTCAGAAAGAGCAGAGCCGGCCTCGCCGTCTCGAGATGGCAGTGGACGGCGTTTCATTCCACTTCACGCCGGTATTTTGTGAGGTCGTGGTACCACCCCGGTTTGAGCCGGCCCATAAGTGCAACAGCAAAGCTGCCGCGTGGCTCTACCACTGTTAAAAAAATTTAAAGCAACACGGAGGTTACCCTCTTATGTATCCAACCCTTTTAGTAATAGGAATGGCTGGATATTATAAGTTGGAGGTTAGACGGACTTTGCGCTACTTAAAGTACATATTCTTGATCTTACGTCGTAGATTAAACAATCCGGAAATCCCGGAATCACTGCGGTAATCCTAGGCTCGATGGGGGCCGAGGGGAGGATTGCTGGACCTACCAGTTGCTCGTACAAATTTGTTAAAGTACGCAGCGGTTCGCGCAGCTAGAAGCATCGCAGCACAACGACTGGCTGGACATACATATTTACTTTTACATTACTTTGGCGAAATTCGAGAGGGTGACATTTAACTATATGTCACTTTTACGTTAGTGTCATTGTTGCTTTAGGCTCCACTCCTGTAATAACAATTGTGTTAGTAAATAAATAAATAAAATAGAAGATATCTACTAGGCTGCACTAAAAGTATCCGGAATGGAATGTTTCCACTATTCCTGTCATATTAAAATCTTTTTAATTGAAAACTCCTTGGTTTTAAAAATCGAATACCATTTATTTATTTAAAAAAAAGATTCTCGGTCTTGTCACAAGGTTTTGTCAAACTTGTTTAGTCGTTGAGAAAATGGAATTGACTCGAGAAAATTTGAGAGCGATGATTTATTATGACTTTCGAAGTGGTTTAACCATTAACCAAATGCCAACCGTCTCACAGATCTTGTGGAATTTATAATCGTAAATATTGTTGCGCCCGAGTCGCGTATGAACTTGTCGGTTCATGTACCTTTTCCCTTCCTTCCTCATCCTCAGTACCGCGCAACGGCTCGTCGAGGTTGGACGCACGTTCGTTTGTCTCTGGCGAGTAAAAAACTTTCGTTTGGGGTCTCGGAGACCTCTGATAGGTGGTTGTGTGATTTTTTTAATACGGGTAGTTTTTTTGTTTAGGAAAAAAAATGAGTTCTAACATCAGGCACTAGCGCCATCTAATGTCGGGTAACGGAGCGAGGGGAGAGCTTTCCAGAAAATGACATCACTAATCTTACAACCGACAGCGCCATCTGTTGTCGAAAGGAAGAACTAAGCTTCTGGAAGCTGACTCGAACTTTCGACGCTTTGTCGATTGGTGCGCGTATTTACTTGAATGTTCTGGATGATTCGGTACTAAGTGTATTTAACCCTTAATAGGGCCATGGTATCAGAATGTACCACATTGCATTATGGGGTTTTGAACAAACTTAATGTTCATAAATGTACCACAAAATGTCATTTTATGCGAGTGAGTGAATGATTCTACAAAATGAATCATCAATCGCGTGTAACCGAACGGAAATTTTTAAACAATCCTGTTTTAAAAAAACTGTCAGTGGCTGGTTATTTTCGCGCGTTTGTGAGGTGTTTTTTGTGAAAAATGTCGAAAAAAAAAATCCCGTAAGTGATATTGTATACGTTTTTTTCAGAGCTTATAAAAGTAATATTTATGTAAATATAATAGTTTTAGTATTGAGAGTGTGATTCTAGAACTATATGAGTGCAAAGTATGTGGTACATATTTCGACCAAAGCCCATTAAAAAAATTGTGGTTTTCTTGTATTTATACCTATTTTGTTCTTATTCCAGAGGACTAAGAAACTACTGAAAGATGATGATATTGCACGAACCCTGGCTGCAATGCAGTCAGAGTCATCAGAAGATGAGATGATTAGGACGAAGTACTCAGATGTAGGGATGATCCATATCCAGACTTTGATATCAACAAGGTTTTAGATAAAGTTGAAGATTGTGCAGATCGTTTTTCATTGGAAGAGCTGAAGAGTTTTCAGAGTGTAATTAGAAACACAGTTATTCGTTAGGCATACGTAACTTACATAAGTATTTTTCTATCTCAAGTGTGGATATTGTCATTTGGTTTTACAGGTAACAGATCTATGTTTGCATCATGCAGCAATATTGCTGCACCGGAATCAAGCAAATTGAAAAAGACTTAAAAGAACATCAGCAGTAATAAAGACTGTGGAATCGGTTTAAAAAGTGAGTTTATTTATTACTTCAAAATGTGATTGTTATTCTAGTTAGTTGATCATTATTATTTATAGATATTTTTATATCTTATACATAGGTCACACAGCTGGTCCAAGGAAACGGTCTGCGTCTAAGTCACATCCTAGTGAACAAATTACAGTTAAGTTTAATATAATAATTACCTACATGTTACATCTTTTTTTTTTACAGTTTTTAGAGTCTGTGGTAATGTTAGGACACTTAAGTTTGTCATCCCGAGTGACATAGGATACGTAATTTTTTTAAAAGTATTGTCATACATATTAAACTTTCGCATTTATATTATTAGTAGAGATTACTATAATACCTACTGTGAGATTTTTTTCTCTTGCAGCTAGAAAATTACCAAGAAAAATGGCTTCATCATATACAAACCCACCAATGAGGGATGTGATACTGCCACCACTAGCCAGAGCTGCTTCGCCGCCGCCGCTTGCCAGAGTGACGACGCCGCCTACTAGAGAGGTGACACCACCTGCTAGAGTGAAGACGCCGCTTATCAGAGAGGTGACACCGCCTGCCAGAGTGACGACGTCGCTTATCAGAGAGCCGACACCGCCTAGTAGAGAGGTGACAGCGCCTGCCAGAGTGAAGACGCCGCTTATCAGAGAGGTGACACCGCCTGCCAGAGTGACGACGTCGCTTATCAGAGAGGTGACACCGCCTGTCAGAGTGACGACGCCGGCTACCGGAGAGGCACCGCCGCCAGCCACACAGGTGACACCACCTGTCAGAGAGGTAACACTGCCTGCCAGAGAGACATAAGAAAACAAACAACAGTCACATAGATTTTAGAGCAAGACTTGGCAGAGGGCTTATAAATAATTTTAGTACCACCAGTCTACAACCAATCACTTATAAAAACAAGAAAGGAGGTGTATTTGGAGTGCCGGATGACGTGAGGTTAGCTAATGTGGGGTTGCACATGCCCTGCAAAGGTAAAAGAAGGCGGTGCAAATTTTGTAGCACAAGATGCGAGCACTGCCGCACAAATATTATGTGCAAAATATGCCTTGTTCCTTTATGTGTAATACCTTGATTTGAAAATTTTCATGTAAACCAGTACGGAAAATAATATAATTTGATAAATACTAAATTGGTTTCTGTAGTTTTAATACAATTTTCTACAAACTAACAATGAGTTTTGAGTTTCTATGAGTTTCCAAATGAGCAATGGTCATATAGAGTCCACATATTTTTTATTAAACGGGCAATGGTCTTATAGTGACCACATGATTTTTCCAATAAAAAAAAATTAAATATCAATTTTTTTTATAACTTTATTTTATACATTTATAGGAACCCAAATTCAAAAAATTACAAAAATCCATATACTTTTGATACCATGCCCTATTAAGGGTTAAACCCGCTGCATGCCGCGATCGGGAGTATTGAGTTTGGCGAGACAAGCGAAGCTTCGGAGCGGAATAAAGTGAATCAGTGAGATTAATTATTAGTGTTTTAAGTTTAATTAGTGTAAAGTGAATTAAAGTGTTAATTTCGGTAATTCAATCGGCAATTTTTATTGTCACGAACCCTAAGCTCGTAACAATTGGTGTCAGAAGTGGGATAAAATCATGCCGTTACCTAAGGAGGAAACGGAGAGTGTCCGTACCCGAAGTCAACGCCAGCAGGAGACGGACCAAAGAAGATTTGGTGGTGCAACGCCGCAGAGGTCGGAGGGCCAGACAGGCAGTAGCCCCTACATCTGCAGCACCTGACTTAGGTGCTCTAATGGTGATGCTGCAGGAGCAGGCTCGCCAACAGGAGGAGCAGGCTCGCCGACAGGAGGAACTGGTCCGTTGGTTGGAAGAGCAGCAGGAGGAACAGGCTCGCCGACAGGAGGAACAGGCTCGCCAGCAGGCGGAACAGGCTCGCCAGCAGGCGGAACAGGCACGCCGATTGAAAGAGCAGCTGCGGGGCGGACAGGAGGAACAGGCCCGCCGACAGGAAGACCAGGTTCGTCGTTTGGAGGAGCAGCTGCGGGGCGGACAAGAAGAACAGGCCCGTCGGTTGGAAGAGCAGATGCTCCTCATGAAGGACCTTCACGCTACCTTCGGGAAGGAGATAAAGGAGGTGAAGGATAGGGTTGCTCAGTATGACAACCGCCTGTCGGAAGCTGAAACCCAAATCTCGAAAGCTGAGAACCGACCAAGTACACCATCGGGTTGACAACGTAATGGCTGACATGAAGAAATCACTGGACGAACTCAAACTTGGAGATGGAGATACAGCTCCCGTAGTAGCTACAACACCTTCGCTACGTGGGTTCAAGGTACCACCGTTCGACGGTACCTCTTCCTGGTCAGCCTACAAAATCCTGTTCGAGGCTGTTATGAAGACGAACGGCTGGAATAAAAGTCAGGCCATGACTGCTCTTACACTAGGCCTGCGTGACCAGGCCTCAACTGTTCTAGAAGCTCTCGGTGAGGAAGTGACTTATGACTCAAGCTTCTTGAGGTATTGGAGGCGAGATATGGCGACGCTCACCTGGAACACGTCTTTCGTGCGCAGCTTAAAGATCGCGTGCAGCGCATCAACGAAAACCTGCAGCAGTGGGCTCTAGAGGTGGAGAAGCTGGTGCGAAAAGCATACCGGTCTGTACCTGCGCTCATTGAAGGGAACCTGGTGCAGACATTCATCGACGGCATCCGCGACCTGGAAGTCAGAGCTGCTGTGAGGCTCGGGCACCACGAGACGCTTAAGGACGTCTTGGTGGAAGCCGTGTGGCAGGATCATCGTTCCCATCGCGTCAGAGAGGTTGCAGCAGCTACAGTTCGCGACCGCAACAAAGGATACAGCCCTAGGTGCTATGGCTGTGGGGAAAAGGGCCATCTTCGATCCAGCTGCCCTAAGCGAACCATAGAAAGGGAAGTTGAACGATCTCAGGAGGGTAGTGCGGCCAACAGCACCGCCCAGCAGCAGCAGGGAAACGAGTAAAAGCCAGAACTGCGGGGCGGGTGCTGGCTGATGTTAAAAGAGCCCCAAGGATCGCGATCTCACAAACTCATGATGGGAACAGTCTAATCATCAAGGGCGAGGTCAACGGAATGCCGTGTAAACTGACAATAGACACTGGAGCCTCTCGTACGGTTGTTAGTTCCCAACTTATAAGTCAGTTTCTTGGGGACTCCGCATACAACCGAGAACGCATTAATTTGGTAACAGCCACCGGTCAGCGTATACCCGTCCGTGGAGAGAAGGAGATGGAGTTGAAGCTAGGCAACGTGATCTACCTGCATAATGTCATCGTGGCTGATATAATGGACGACTGCATCCTTGGCCTGGACTTCATGAGGAATAATTGTTGTGAGATCGACGTTAAGCAAAGTGTTTTGAAATGTGGACAGGAGGAACTTTTTATGGAAGGTGCGTTACCAGGGAACGTGTACAGCATTAAGAAGATTGTTCTTCCGCCGAGATCGGAAACGATTGTTCCGGTTAGTCTTCCTCGAAACCCTGGGCAAGCTCACCGTTGTGTACTTGTGGAAAGGGTAAACAATGACCTTTCATGGAAAGTAGCTCGAACCTTGGTCAGAACCACTGGCATCTCAGGAGTACGTGTGCTGAACCTTTGTGACCGGGAACAGATTATAGAAAAAGGCACGCTGGTTGGTACTTGTGAGGAAGTGGATTGGTTACGTCGATGCCAATATCTATCGAGTGAGACCCCCAGCAAGGATGCACAAACGAGAGTGACCTAACTTTTAGAAGACTGTCACAGCGTTCTCTCCCCGACCGAAATGGTCAAGGTGAAGAAGTTGTTACTCACTATGCCGATGTATTCTCATCAAACGATGCTGACATAGGAAAGACTGGCATAGTTCAACACAAAATAAACACAGGAGAAGAATTGCCTATCCGTCAGCGGCCAAGAAGATTGCCGGTAGCACGTGAAAAGGAAGTGGAAACCATGATTGAAGGAATGGTAAAGGATGGTGTTATTGAACCTTCCTCTAGTCCATGGTGTTCACCAGTGGTTCTGGTAAAGAAGAAGGATGGCAGCATGCGGTTTTGTGTTGACTACCGCCGTCTGAACGACGTTACGAAGAAGGACAGCTATCCCTTGCCAAGAATTGATGACACGCTGGACATGCTTACAGGAGTAAAGTGGTTTAGCACGCTGGATCTAAAAAGTGGCTACTAGCAAGTTGAAATTGACCCCAAGGACAAGGAGAAAACTGCGTTCTCGACGGGAAAGGGTCTGTGGCAATTTAAAGTAATGCCGTTTGGGTTGTGCAATGCTCCAGCAACGTTTGAAAGGCTGATGGAACTTGTACTTGCCGGGCTAATTGGCGATGCCTGTCTGGTCTACTTGGATGACATCATCATCGTAGGCCGTACGTTTGAGGAACATCTTCAAAACCTGGAACGCGTGCTCATGAAGATTCAGAGTGCCAACCTCAAGTTGAGTCCGAAGAAATGTTCACTATTCAAACGGCAAGTTAACTTTTTGGGGTATGTAGTATCGGAAGAAGGTATCCGCACGGATCTGGAGAAAATCGCCGCTGTCAAGGATTGGTCGATTCCAAAAGACAAGACGCAGGTTAGAGCATTTTTGGGTTTGTGCTCCTACTACCGGCGATTTGTGAAGAACTTTGCAGATATAGCCAAACCTCTGCAGAAGCTAACCGAGGAAAAGCGACATTTCTGCTGGGATGAAAGTTGCAATATCGCATTCCAGGAGCTCAAGGACCGTCTGTGCAAAACACCTATTTTGGGATACCCTGATGCAAGCAAAAATTTGTAGTTGACACAGACGCAAGTGATACAGGGCTCGGCGGTGTGTTGTCTCAACGGAACGGTGATCGAGAGATTGTGATAGCGTACTTCAGCAAGTCGTTGTCAAACCGGAAAGGAACTATTGTGTCACAAGACGCGAATTGCTAGCTGTGGTAAAGTCGTTGCAGTATTTTAGCAAATATCTTCTGGGGCGAAAATTTCACATACGAACTGACCATGCTGCACTAAAATGGCTATTGCAGTTTAAAAATCCAGAAGGACAAGTTGCGAGGTGGATTGAACTACTGCAGGAATACGACTTTGAGATCGAACATCGCAGCGGGAAATCTCATGGCAACGCAGATGCATTGTCAAGAAGACCTTGTCCTGAAGATTGCAAACATTGTACTAGACAAGAGAGTAAGGAAGTGGTATCCGTGAGGATGCTCAGGGCAGACCACCTCAGTAACGAGTGGAAGGACAGCTTACAACGTGCACAGCAGGAAGATCCGGATATCAAGCCAATTCTGGAATGGATGAAGGCCAGTGCTCCCAAGCCCAAGTGGGGCGACGTCTCAGCGATGAGTTCGACCACTAAAAGCTATTGGGCCCAGTGGGACAGCTTGCTGCTTCAGGATGGAGTTCTGTGCCGTAAATGGGAAAATGTTCGGGGAGACAGCTGTCATTTGCAAATGGTTGTCCCTAAAGCTAAAGTACTTGATGTTCTACAGCTGTACCATAATGATTATTCAGGAGGTCATCTGGGAGTTAAACGAACTCTACTGAAGATCCGAGAACGGTTTTACTGGGTCCACTGTCGAAATGATGTCGAGGACTGGTGTCGCAAATGTACAAGTTGTGCGGCTGTAAAGGGACCTCAGACTCGTAGTAGAGGTGCATTGAAGTTGTACAATGTTGGTGCACCATGGGAGAGAATAGCCATTGACGTGGCGGGCCGTTTCCGGAGAGTGAAAGCGGTAACAAGTATTTCATGGTTGTGATGGATTACTTCACTAAGTGGCCAGAAGTCTTCACAATTCCAA